CTAGCGCCTCCCCTTCATTGAACCTCAACTCCTTTTTCTAGAGTCCTCGAACAAAGTAGTCCCTTTTGACTACATCTTTGAGTCACAATTTGATATGACCAAATTAATGGCATGACTCTGATACCATGTTAGAAACTATGACTTTCTACAATTATATGATATTGTCTATTTTGATCTGGCTTTCATGATTTTGCTTTTGGTTTCCTCCAAAGACCTTCGTACCGATGAATATATATTTCTTATGTATAAATTTATACTTATCTCCTTGATTAGTCCGGGTGGGACTCTTTCCCAACAAATAGTTCATATATATTTTATTTGTATGGACTATGATTGAGTAAACCTTTTGAATAATTAATAATTAATTTTGCAATTTTTTATTTGAACCTAAAGTTTGATTGGCAAGCAATTTATATATTGATATATCAGCTCATTTATTATAATATAAAATAAACTATAATCCAGCTGACAAATTAGAATCAATAATTTAATTATGATCCCAAAAAACCCATAGTCTTTGCAGAAAACGTTGAAGAAAAAGACCCAACCCATAGTCTTTGCAGAAAACGTTGAAGAAAGACCCCAAAAATAATTTAAACAAAAGCAAAGGACGAGGCGCAAAGCCCTCGCACCCTAAGCCTACGCCCACCTTTTTGTCTCAGCATATTCCTAAGAATGTTCCATTTCCCACTATTCTCCAACATCACAACTCTTCAACACCAAAACCCTTCTCTTGTTTAAAGCTTTTTGGATTTCTTCATTTGTAGCCTTGCGTTTTTTCTTTATCCCTCTTTTTACGGGCGAGGAACGAATGTCAATAATATTTGAAATATTCTCGACTCTCGTAAATTTTTATCTTACTCTAATCTACAATATTCGTAGAGTCTGATAGATTTCAGACCATATATTTTTAACTGAGAATAATTGTATGCCCGGGTTATTTCACCAAGTTGGTTCTTCTACCAAATTTATTCTACACCAATGCAACTCTCCAAAATTTATCAATATCAATTTTCAAACATGTACATATTGTAACTCATTTATTTGAGAATAATGATGTATGGGTCAAAATATTCCTAATAAATAAAAACTACTTTAAAATTTGATTAATAAAAATTATTTTAATAATCACTAATAAAAAATAAATTAACGAATTATCTAAATAAAATGGTTGGATTGGTTAACTTTTCAACGGGAGGGACATACATGTCTTTTCCCAGTTAATTCATAGGGTCAAAGAAAAAGAAAAAACTCTGGAATTTCCCGTGGTCCACCGATTCGCTCTTTCTTTCAACTGTCGAAATATTTTTCCGAATAAAGTGAAACTGAAGTGTTCGTCGGCATCGGAATCGGGATCGGAGTAAACCCAATTCCCACCGCACCCGAATATCTCCTCCGATTCTTCCATTTTTACACTTCACTTCACTTCACTTCACTTCATCTTCTTCCTCACAGCTTCTCAAATCCTTTTTCTTCTTCTTCTTCTTCTTTAACTCCGTCATGCCACTCGATCACCACTCCCAACACTTCGACCAAACACGCAGTTCCGTCGAAGCCGATGATGATTCCCACCATCTCCACCCTACTCGTTCCACGACGTCTGTCGTCAATGGAGCCGACTGCGAGAATGCCGGCGATGACCTTTTCGTCCCTCCCCTGAACTTCGCCGTCGTTGACAATGGCATTTTCCGCTCCGGCTTCCCCGACTCTTCCAACTTCTACTTCTTGCAGACCTTAGGCCTTCGTTCGATTATGTAAGAGTTTTCTACTGGCTCGGTTTTAGTTTGCTTTCGTTGTTTGTCTGTTCTTGATTTTGTATTCTTAGTTGTAATGTTTTGTTTGATAATCGATGATTGAATATGAACTGATTGCTTTTTAACGTATATTTTAGATGTCTTTGTCCTGAGCCATATCCTGAGGCGAGCATGGATTTTCTCAAGTTGAATGGAATTCGATTGTTTCAACTCGGGATTGAAGGTACTAAGGTTTGTTCTCTTGTTTCCATTTTGCAAGTTAATTTTTCAAAGTTTTACTTCACCGAAGCATCATTATTGAGAGATAGTTTTTGACAATTCCCAATTTTGAGGGGAAGCTACTTGTAAAGTGATTTTTGTGATTATGCTTTGTATCCATATTCTTATTTCGAGTTAAACATCATTTAGTGGTCGGATATTCGACCTTCTAAGCTCTCGATTGATGATATATGTCAATTATCGCTATGCAAAGTTCATCTTGGCATGCCTTGTATGCATATGAACTTACCAAAGAGATCATTAGAACCCACTTGGCTACTTCAACCAAGTTTCTTGGTAAATTTGCATACAAGGAAAAGAGTAAATATGCAAGCATTTGATGTTGAGGCTCCCGCTGAATATAGTCATTCCATGATCTTTGAGCCATAGATTGGTTTGCATTCCAAAGGACTTTTAAGAGGAATTTGCATCATAGTTTTAACTGCTTCGACTGTTTCGACGTTCATGATAAACTGTTTTTGGGGATTTAGCTAACAAAATTTAGCTTGTGTAAATTGTGTTGGCTGGTTCAGACAAGTTTGATGCATATGTAAACTTGATTCTTTAGTTTATGAGGAATTTGGATATAAGAGCTGATCAAATATACTATTTGGTACGAAATTTGATCTGATTAGTGCTATCCCAGTTATCTCTGAAGCTACTTTCAACAACTTTCTGGCCTGTTAAAAATCAATTGAACATAATGACCATCATTAATACGTATTAACACACACAAAAAGGGGAAGAATAAGAACAGAGAGATAGGAGAGCTGATTGTATGATTCTTATGGCATTGAGCTACTACTCATGCGGTGATTACTAGATGTTTTGACGAAGTATTTCTTTCAATGAACAACCTTGATCATGAAGTGATATCTTCACGTTTTCTTTCTTTAAATGTGGGGGTAGCATGAGGGAACGGGCGTTAGACTTCCATTTGAACTTCCCCATTGCATCTAAAGCTCTTCCCATGTTCATTTGATTGAGAAATAGGATGAAGTTGCTTTGTTTTCCTTACATATACCGAATGTCGACTGAATGTTTATTGTTGGCAAAAACCCATAGAAAACTTGACATTTTGGAGAAATTATGTATCACCTAAGCCTACCAGATATTGTCTTTTTCTGGGCTTTCCCCCTCAAGGTTTTTAAAACGCCTCTTCTAGGAAGAGGTTTCCACTCTTATAAGGAATGCTTCATTCATCTCTCCAACTAATGTGAGATCTCACAATCCATCCCCCATGGGGATCAGCATCCTCGCTGGCACACCTCCCGGTGTCTGACTCTGATACCATTTGTAACTGTCCAAGCTCACCACTAGCAGATATTGTCTTTTTTGGACTTCTTCCGGGTTTCCCTTCAAATTTTTTAAAACGCGTCTTCTAGGGAGAGGTTTACACACCTTAAGAGGTCAAGGGGGTGTGTTCAAGTTTACTTGCTTTGTTTTAGTGTCATGCCAATGCTAATTTTTAATAGTTACACAAGTGGGGTGAAGAATTTTAAACTTCTAATCTTTTGATCTTTTGATTGAGAGCATATGCCTTAATCTAAGAGTTAGGAACTGGAGAGTAATGGTCTCTAACCGAAATTTGAGTACCTAACATAAATTTAGACTCAACCATGTGGTAGCAATTATAGTAGCTAATAACCAAACAGATGATAGCACTCTAAAAGAACGCTGATCACTTTGTCGTTGGAATTAAATACAGGAGCCTTTTGTGAACATTCCAGACAACACAATTCGTGAAGCACTTAAAATTATTCTCGGTACCTACCATTCTTCACATTTCACATCTTTAATGAGGCTGAATTAGTAGATGTTAAAGTTTTGTAGTCTGGATTTTTGTGTTCACTTGGGCATTACTCTTTCCACCATGCAGATGTGAGGAATCGCCCAGTTCTAATCCATTGCAAACGAGGGAAGGTTTGAAACTAAACCCGTGAGCTTCTACCATGCTAGTGCTCATATCGAGTTTCTAATTAGTTTAACTTGTTTCTCACTCTTCAGCACCGAACTGGTTGTGTTGTGGGATGCTTTAGAAAGCTGCAGAAATGGTGCCTATCCTCAGTCTTTTATGAGTATCAGCGGTTTGCCGCTGCCAAGGCAAGAGTTTCAGATCAGAGGTTCATTGAACTATTCGATGTTTCTGGCTTGAAGTATCTGCCATCTTCATTTTCTTGTTCCAAAAGATAAATTGCCCTGTATGCCCATTTTGAGGACGATCATTAGTGGAAGAACATGCCTCACATCTCTTTCAAAGTTACTCCCTCCCTTATATTTGTATATTTTTACTGTTCTCGAACTATATTTATGGTTATAAATCCATAAGGGATTCTCTGGGATTCACCCACCCCACTCATTTATGTGTATTAGATTTTAAGAAGGTTCATTCAGTCCTTTTTTAGCTTTCCTTTTAGCTTCCTTTAAAGTGCTTCCATTTTAAGCATCTTCAAAAGAAAACGTACCCATTATGCTTATTTGTTCACATTTCCTTATTTAATGAAAACTTCAATCTACTAGTTCTTTCGTAACACTTTCTTTACTTGATTATGATTACCCGTCTTGCACGGTTAACACTTCCTTTATTTACTTGATTATATTAGTAGGCGGCCCAATATGATCAGCCTCATAGTTTTAAAACGTGCCTACTAGAAAGAGGTTTTCACATCTTATAAGGAATGTTTCGTTTCCCTCTTCGACCAATGTGAGATCTCACAATCCACTTCCATTGGGGCCAGCGTTCTCGTTGGCACACCCCCCAGTGTCTGACTTTGATATCATTTGTGACAGTTCAAACTCACTATTAGGAGGTATTGTCCATTTTGGCCCATTACGTACCACCGTCATTTTCACGATTTTACTAGGGAGAGGTTTCCACACTTTATAAGGAATGTTTCGTTTTCCTCTCTAACTAATATAGAATTTGAGAGTGCTTGTGTAACAAGGGAAACAAACGGAAAGAGAATTTAATTATAAAGAGAATAGGGACTAACTTTTGATTAAAATAATAACAATAGACTAGAGATTGAGTGACTCACTTAACCCACTTTAAAAGGCAACATAACCACAACCCCTTTAAATGTTTATTGTTAAAAAAGTGGGTCTTTCTTTCTTTCCTTTTCTTCTTCTATGCTGTTGCCATTGGACCCAAATTAGCATTGGCTTTCATGGCTTCAAATCTTGGCTCCTTCGCCTCAAACTTCACTCCCAAATACAGCTTCATGTAATCTTCAAACACAAACTTGGGATACACTTCCTTCTTCTCCTCACCCTCACCCTCTTTCTCTATCAGCGACGCCGCAGGGAAGATCACGGCGTCGCTCCCCGGATTGTAAAACGAAGCTAACGACATTCGACCACCCCCGCTTGTCTGAGTCATCACTCTATGCATCACACTTTTGTATCTTCCATTTGTGATCACCTGCAAATTGAGAAACATTAAAATCTTTCCTTCCTTCCTTCTTCACTTTATACCATTTTGTTGTGACCTACCACCTACCTCAAGTTGGTCTCCAAGGTTTACAACGATGGCGTGGCGCATCGGTGGCACATCGATCCAATTACCGTCTTTGAGGAGTTGCAGGCCGCTGACCTTGTTATCCTGGAAGAGGAGGATGATGCCACCAGCGTCGGTATGAGCTCGGAGACCCTTGATCAAATCCGGCTTTGGACACGGCGGGTAGTTACTCACCTTTGTCCCAAATGTAGGACCTTTTGATCCATGGAAAACCTTCTTCAAATACCCCTTTTCCAACCCAAGATTCTCACATAGAAGATCCAATAACTCCTCTGAAAGATTCTCAATCTTCTTAGCAAATTCCTTCATAATTTCCCTATAAATCATTTACATGCAACGTTATAGAAAGAGTATATAACATAGCCATACAAATTTTATGCTCAAACTAAACAATATCATCATACTTGTACTCCTCGTCGAGTTCCGACATCTCAGCGATGTTCGACTCGGGGAGATGGCGCAAGAAGAACGTGCTTTCCCAGTCCATATCCTTAACTTCAACCTGAGCAGCCTCCAACCCCTTGCTAGCCACAGCCTCCTTAAACCTCTGTTCCATACATTTCTTGTAATGATCCTTTGTCATCTTCTCCACAGTGTCCAAGAACTCATGTGGGATCCCATGGTTCACCAGCTGCAAAAACCAACTCCAACCCATTACAAACACGACCAAAACAAAGAACAACAAACCAAACCAAGATCTTGTTCGGTCAAAACATCTCTACTTTCTCTAAACGGTCACACGTTCAAATCATCGTAAAAAAAAAAAAAAAAAAAAAAAAAAAAAAAAAAAAAAAAAAAAAAAA